TCTTTAATGGTTAAGTTATGTGAATATTTTATGGCCATGATAGTACCGGAATCTCCCCAGCTTGCACGAGAAACGTTCCCATAGGAGCAGCTGCTGATTTCTTTCCTATTAGCGAACTTATCGTAATTATAATATTTAATATAGTTTTCTGATATTGCCTTTTCTAACCAACCAAGGTAAACGTTGGATTCATCTAGTTGTTTTTCGGCTGTCATGTTTTAGAAGAGAGATTTTAGTTTGTATTCGGTTTAAAAAGAAATAATTTTAATCTTCCTAATAAAAGTAATTATTAAAATGCAAAATACCATATGGTCAGTAAAGTAACAAATTAGAAGCGAAAAAACAACTTTGAGCGACATAAACATATGCGCTCAATTATTGAGGGTCGTACAAAATGGAGGAGTTTCTTAACGGCGTAGTAAATAAGTTCTCGTAACACAATTGCTAAATAGTAATGTATATGGCAAAGTTATAATTCTTATAAAACCGCAATTTAAATAAACAATGTTTGTTTATTCTTAAAATGCAAATACTGTAATTGAATATCAATAATACCTAATTTTTTTTTTTTTTAAAAAAATCGAAATAATAAGACTTATTTTCCAATAAGTATATTTTTAATAAACGTTCGTGAGGGTAATTTGTTTAATCCGACACTTAGAGGAGTATGGTAAAACTTTGATCCTTGAATTTTTTCTAATATTTTCTATTTCAATCTTAATCTTAAAAGTCCATATTTCAAATCTATTAAACCATAATTTTCGCAATTCGCAATTTTCGACTTTTTAAACATGAACACGAGCAAAGCAGTTGAGAAGATTAGAAAACATCACATTCAATTAAATAGGAATGATAATATTTATTGTAGAACAGTTACAGCTAGGGTTGGATCGGTCGGTCCAAAAAAGACCGGTCTTTCATCTTTCTTTGGACCGGACCGGTCCATAGGTCAGTCCTAAGACCTGTACAGAGGCTGGTCTTGTACAATTCGGCCCTACCAGTCCGGTCCAGTCCAAAATTTGTTTCATTTTCCAGACTTATTTATAAGACCGGTTTAGAACAAATTTGAAAAAAAAAATTATTCACCACACCACATTTCACATTTTTAATAATCAATTTCAAAATATTAAAATTATATAAATTAATAAAACAATTTAAATCATACATATAAAAAGTGTAATAATAATAATTATTGCATGCAAATGATAAATGCGCCATCTTAATCCGTTATTTCTACATTTTCGACATTTCTGCCATTTTCATTTCGGACATTATAGTTTCGTAAATGTTAATATATATGCAATAAGTTGTAGAAAGAATTGGACTTATGAATTGGTACACAAATAAAAGACAGATTCCAAGGAATGAATTATGTACCGCTCCAGTCCATAAGATATATGAAAACCTGTTTTATAATTAAAAAAAAAAAACAATTTTATATAATTAACCCTAGGAATGGATCGGTCCTGATAAGGCCGTCCTTGCAACCGGTCCTTTATTATTATATATTTATAAATTGTTATATTATAAAATAATACAAATTAGGGTTGGACCGGTCTTTTATCTCTCTTATGGACCGGATCGGTCCGTAAGTCTGCATCAGGGACGATGATTTTTTGTGGTGATATAAAGTAAATTTTGTGTGTGATAAAAATAAATTCCGTGAAATTTTGATTTGGCCGGATTTAAGCAAGGTTGGCCAACATTACGACTCGTAAATTCTGCCCAAATTTAGTGTTTACCGGAATTACAATGATTGTCAAATCCTAAATTAGACCAAAAACTTTGAACCAAATTTTGTGATTTTCTGTGAAATTCTGTGATCACAATAAATCATTGTCCCTGGCCTGCATTAACTGGTCTAAGACCTAATTAATGGTTAGCCATAATATATATTATTTTTTGTATCACTTTCAACTGTAAAAAAAATTTTTTAATTTTCTCTTATTTGATTGGTCGATTTAATTATTTTCAGGTAGGTTAATTAAACATTATAAATTTGCGATTTAAGCTTTTCTGTGGCACTTTTGTGTTGTGTTAAATTTAAACCATCATATTTTAATAAAAAATATATATATACTGTACATTACAAAAATATAGCTTTAGCCTGAAAGTTATAACATTTATATTAAATTAAAAAAAATAATTTACTATAAATGCTGAAATAAAATTAAATTAAATATCATTAAAATTAATAAAAAAAAAATCACGGTATTAAAAAGATTAAGAAAAAATAATTTACATTACAAGAAATAAATAAATTATTATTAAAAAAAAAAAATTAAATCCGAATTTAAAATTAAATTTATTAAAATAAAAATACCAAATTAAATTTAGCCTTAATCGTCTTTTTTTAATAGATTCAAATATAAATCCATTAAGATTTCTTTTCTTCTCCTCATCCAACTTTCCTTTTACCTGACTGTGACCAGTCAAGTGAAATTATTAAAAAAATTATCAAAATTTAGATTTCCGCCTTTTCTATTGATTGCCGCCCATACGTTTGTAAATATTTTTAGCAAATTTTTAATAAAGCTATGAGAAAGAAAAGTGTGATCATAGTAACTTTAACAATTGGTAGAAATTTTCTGAATAAAAGTTTCTACGTTATCTTTGATTGGAATTTCCTAAAAGAAAGAAATCAAAATCAAATAGTTACTAACGTATAAATTACTTATTGCGTAAGTGTAAATTATTTCATTCTTACTTTTGCCCTTCAAAGTATTTCAATTTTACAGAAATCTCATTAGTTTGCTTATTATTATATTCTCTTTGAGGCCATGAAATATTCATTTAATGGGACATTCTTTGTTGTTAATACTAGGTAAAAAAAGATTGTAATGAATCATGATGTACAGTCAATTGCTGCAGCCGCTTCTTTTTTTTTTTGAAAAAAAAAAATCTCCAACGCCAACAAATAAAATTATGAGATTTAAATTCTCGCAGCTAAAGAAGCTAACGCCTATATCAAATACCTCATAAAATTTGACTAATATTACATTGCAACATTACGTCCATTAAAACTAGCGTATTACCCAGTTTCTTGTATAATAATTTCATAAGGTTTAAAACTTACTCTCTCTACTATAAAGCGATCAGGATGTAGATGGTTGAATCTCCAAAACATGATGTAAATTTTAGGTGAAAATTTTCACATTTCGTGTCCAAATTCTATACTCCTGGCTAGACAGTAAGAAAAGCCTCTTTTAAACATCAACAAAAATAAAAATACATTAGTTATTATGTTTAAAAAAATAAATGTGTAAATAATATAGCAGACCTTAGTTTAAATCTGGCTTGATTGCATCGACATAAAGAATTAATCAATGTATAACTTCATGCCTTACATTTCTGATATAAATAGCAATGACCTTCGCTTAAAATATTATCTGCATTTTATAAAATAACAGTTATCATCCATATTATTAAATACCCGTATATTTCTTGCCTACGGGATCGTGCTTCTAATATATCCTGCCTTTTAGTTTCGCTAATTAACTAAGCTAAACGTAATATGAAATACTGTAAGCTTATTCTTCAGTACATTTCATCATCACGGCCAAAATTATCTTTTCGTAAATGTTATTAAAAATGAAGAAATGATATTTGAAATAATTAGTTAATAGCATTGCAAAAATTATTATGATGCAAAATTGTTATCTCAATTTTACCTCTAACTGTTCGATATATGCTTCAGTGTTGATTTTGACACTTCCAGCCGTTTACAAAAAATCTCTTATGAATAACCGGTAAGATTGGTTAATGTTAAAAATGTTATTTTTAAAAAGTGAAATTCAGAAATACGCTCCTTTAGAACAGAGTACGTTTTAAGGATTTAATAATTATGTAGTACACGTCACGTTTTTATTTATTGTAAATCTTACCATTTTAAAATTTTCTATGGTGAGACAAGACTAATTTTGTGGTTGTATAACATGCAAACACTTTTCTAATTTTCACGAAAAAACGGATTTTAATGAATTGAGTTTCCTTTCGGTAAGTACTCCTAAATTGTAGATTTATTATTTATTTATTTTATTTTATTAAACCTTTCTAATAAACTCTATACTTTCCAGATTTTATTTCTATATTATCTTTGTGTAAAATCCTGATATTCCTGCGATGTCCTGTCCTGTTCAATACTCACACGCCATCTGTATTCTGATGGGAATTTATCGTCGACTTTTGGTCATTGCCAGCTCACAAAAGATTTCGGCTTGTGTAGCACTTGGGGTTTCAAATTTGTAGGTGCAAAGTAACCATAAATAATTCTGGAAATGATCTTAATACAACAACTAGATCTAGATAATCAAGTATTCTTTAGGTAAGAAAATGTTTTTTCTATTAAGTTGTGGGTTTTTACCAATGCCTTCTAATGAAAACCGTTTATTACAGATCATGTTGTTCAATTAATGACAATGAAAATATGTCTCAAAAAGTTTGTGATGTGCCCAGCGACTCTTGATAAGCAAAAAGTAAGTGCATATGATTATAGTCATATGAGGCCAGGTTTATTCTTGTACCTATTAAATTCATTTTAATGGGAGTGGTAACACTTTTCTTACCCTTACAAGTTAGTAGAAAGTTTTTAATACAAAAACTTTATATTCCAGCATCCAGCCATCCACCTTACTTAATTTTTTTTCTGATTATTCTTTTGTGATTTATTTTCTCATTTATATAGACCGATGTTCTTCAAGCTAATAATAACTTTTGGAGCCCTTCGTCACCAACCTCGTCATCGTCCAATAATGGAAAAAAGAGAAGTGCAACAGATTCAATAAGCACTTCATCTATAATTCCTATAATTATCCCAAAAATGACATGCTTTGTTCCTGACGAAGATATACCGTTGAAAGCCAATGATTCATTAGATCCTCTTGAAGTTATAAAGTTAGCCGTACATACTTTTGACAAGAATACTATTGAAAGAGGTTCTTCTCACTCATATAAAAGCTCAAAACATCTACGAATAGATTATGAGCAATATAAAAAAGTTCCGTGGGAAAAGTGTCTATGATGCAGAGATGTATTGAATCCTGCATAATTGTTAGCAAAGGTACATAGTTTTGAAATAACCGGCCAATATCACTTTGAACGATGGGAATTACCATCACTATTAGTGATTTGGTAATAAAGCAAAGTGATAATCAAAATCCTCTTTCTGTGCTCGAATTTCTGACAACAGCGCCTCCATCAATCTTAAAAGAGAATTTCAAAAGGGTTCTTGATTATGCAAGAACACCTATGTTCATCGAGGTTGGGTTGTACATTTTTCACGCGAGGACAATAATACCAAAGATCTATATTGGCCTTGCAATAAAATGCTCAACAGGAAACTATATGTTGTACATAACTGGCACGATAAACAATTCAATAATGTCCGGATGAGTTCAAATGATATTAGACCACCAATTCTCCCATAAGGGTGAGTTGCGGGATTTTCTGGTAAGACTGATTCTTGGTCGCAAACTTCGTGAACTTGGGCTTTTTTTTGGTTACTTGGGTCTCAACTTATTTAATAACTGGTTATTTTTATAGCGATAGGGTGACATTAAGGTTTATGGATTAAAGTTACATTACATTGGGTAGCTTCGAGTTTCTATTCTAGGTTGTAACTTTATTACATTTTAACAAGTGAATTACGATGATCATGACGGATCAAGATCACGATGAAGCCATTTAAAAAGATTGATAATCAATTTCTTGGATAATTTCTCTCCTCCTTGCTAAAAATTCCGGGTTTCTTATGGGAATTCATTAAGGTATGAAACCATTAAATCATGCTAAAAAACAATCTCGAGATCCAATAATCATTTATCAATTTTTATTAGCGTGTAGGAATGATGTTCAAGAAGTAGTGTTTCAGGCGAAACTATTTTTCAAAATCCGAAACGTTTTTCCCAGAGAATTTTTCTATGATCAAAAACAATAATGAATCGGGAATTTGAGATTATAACATTACAGGTAAGAAACAAATGATATTTGGGAAATTTTTTCTGTCTACGTATTAATCAAAAATTCTGTGCTAAAAATGTTGATATGAAACATTTCAAAATACTTAAAGATTAATAAAAGTAATTCGTAAAAAAAAAAATTAGTGAGAGCGTATAATTTGTCGAGGTGTTCTTGCAAAGTCATTATAGCTTCTAAGAGGTCGTCAGTTAATCAACCCAGCTTCGATTCTTTCAACAAGAATCTTACGATTGTTCTTTTATAACAAGAATTATAAATTTTATACCCCAGTTCATTTACGTAATATATAAATTCGACTTATTAAATATATTCAACAAAATTCACAAATGTGGCGCAAGATCCATACTTCAATGATTTTTCGCATGATAGATTTATAACTTAAATATTCGCATTCGCTGTTCTTGGTTTTAAGCGGTCACAGCTTACGTACTTATATGCAACCTACTGGAATGATTTGAATTTACAAACCTGCTTCCAATAAAACATAAAGAACTCGTGTGATCGAGCATATGGAAATTTAAAAATGGCATAATTGTGACCAATACTCCAATCAATTTACGTAATTTTGCTGCCAATATAAATTCTTTAAATTTTTTAAATTCAAAAAACAATATGAAATAAATTTTTTCGGGAGGCAGCCGAACTCGAACCCAAGACATGCTGCACGTTTCACACCATGTCAAGCGCTGTTTCTCACACAATATGATGTATTATGTTTTGGTAAAAATAATAATTGTATTCTTGGGCTATTTTTTTTTTTTATCAATCACCTTTCATAATTCCGCGGTTATGGTATCTTTTATTCATTTTTTTTTTAGTAGTTATTGCAGCAACTACTACTAAACAAGTTTAGTTTACATCACATTCTTTTTCAACATCTGAAATATAAACTTATTATATCGGCCTGTAATAAATGCTCCTTTGAAGTTTATTAATTTCAGTAGGTTCATATCTATTTTTGAGGAATTGATTAATTGTTATTTTTTTATTTCGAAAAAATTTAAAGATGTCACGCAAAAGTTGATTTGGAAATTTGTTTTTATAATTACATATATTGGTCAGAATACGATGTTAAGCCTAAACACTACGTCGTTAGGATAACAAAGCTTATTTGCTAACAGGGAGTTTAAGTTGTAAACTCTGAAA